TCAGCTTATTAGTCAACATCTTCACTAAGCTATATATATTTATACATATGTATATGTATACATATGTATAGGTATATAAAAATATATATATAGTGTATGTGTGTGTATATATTTGAGATGAAGTCTCAGTCTGTTTCCCAGGCTGGAGTACAGTGGCGCGATCTCGGCTCACTACAACCTCTGCCTCCCAGGTTCAAGCGATTCTCCTTCCTGCCTCAGCCTCCTGAGTAGCTGGGATTACAGACATGTGCCACCATGCCCGATAATTTTTGTATTTTTAGTAAAGGTGGGGGTTTCACCATGTTGGCCAGGCTTGTCTTGAATTCCTGACCTCAGGTGATCCACCTGCCTCAGCCACTAGTCTATATTTTTGAAAGAAAAAAGAACAGAGAATCAGATAAGGGAGGAAACAAAAATATTTCTAATAGTGGTCACATACCAAATTTCAGTTTGTGCAGTCTTTGACATCCTGTTTTATGACTCTTTTTCCCCCCACCACCGAGACAGGGTCTCACTCTGCCACCCAAGCTGGAGTGCAGTGGCGTGATCTTGGGTCACTGCAACCTCTGCCTCTTGAGTTCAAGCAATTCTCGTGCCTCAGCCTCCATAGTAGCTGGGATTACAGGTGTGCACCACTGCGCCTGGCTCGTTTTTTTGTATTTTTAGTAGAATTGCGGTTTCACCATGTTGGCCAGGCTATAAGGGTCAAGTTTGGTTTCTCCCATTGCTACGGGCCAGAAGATCTTAAATAGGCAAAGCTAGCTGATTTGCTGAGCTAGCTTTCCTGAAATATCTGTTCTTGCAACCAGTATGTTTCTTAATGAGACCTTAGATTTTCTCCCTCTGTGTGAAAAAAATTAAGTCTGTTATATCTCTGCCTTGGCAATCTTTTAAGTTTTTCTCTGAGCTTAATTAAGTAAAAACTGTTTTTAAGATACAGTATTTCTTTTAAGACAGCTGATGTAGCTTATTCTGGAGGCCAGCAGGCTGCTTCAACATATTCCAGGGGCTAGGCATGGTAATTGTAATGCAGCGTTTTGGAAGACTGAGGTAGAGGATCGCTTAAGTGCAGCAACTCAAGACCAGCATGGGCAACATAGTGAGACCTCATCTCTACAAAAAAAAAATTTAAGTTCTAAGTATTTAGCTGGATACTATAGCATGTACCTGTAATCCTAGCTACTCAGAAGACTGGAGGAGGAGGATTGCTTGGGCCCAGAAGTTCAAGGCCAGATTGGGCAACATAATGAAACCCTGTCTCTTTAAAAAAAAAAAAAGTTCCGAGTATTTGGTCTATTTTGTATACTTAAGGAGAATGAGCTTTATACGAAGTTCTTTTTAATTTTTATTTATTTATTTTTTGAGATAAGAGTTTATTAGCACTTTTGCCCAAGCTGGAGTGCATTGGCAAGATCCCGGCTCACTGTAACCTTCATCTCCTGGGCTAGAGTCATCCTCTCACCTCAGCCTCCCAAGTAGCTGGGACTAAAGGCAAGCGCCACCACACCGGCTAAACTGACTTGAGGTTGTTGTACTCCAAGGATCATTTTGTCTCCTTCTCCTTGTTTGATTAAGTATATTTCTTTTTTGATTACATCTTACATGCATGTGGCACAAATTTCAAAAGGTACAAAAGGACCATATAAAGAGCACATCTTCCTCTGTTCCCCAGTTACCCTCTTTTCTTCCCACAAGTAACTAAGGTCACTGGTTACTTGTGCTTCATTTTAGGGTCTATACATTTACACACACACATATCATATATGTGCGTGCGTGTGTGTGTGTGTGTGTGTGTGTATTTTCCCCCCACGCATTTGGGAACATGATGCACATACTATTCTGCACCTTTCTTTTTTCATTAACCATATATCCTTCCAAGTCAGTATGATTAAAACTGCCTCATTAATTTTAATGACTAAAGAGTATTCCACTATGTAAGTAAACCATAACTAATTTAACCAGGACATCTAATTATAGACACTTAGGGTTTTTAAGACAGTTTTTAAAATTAAGATATAATTTACATACTGTAAAATTCACCCTTTTAAACTCAGTGGTTTAATTCGAGACCCTTTTTTTTTTTTTTTTTAAGAAACAGTCTGGCTCTGTTGCTTCCACTGGAGTGCAGTGGTGTAATCATAGCTCACTGCAGCCTTGACCTAGGCTCAAGCAAGCAATTCTCCCACTTCAGCCTCCCAAGTAGCTGGAACTACAGGTTTGCACCACACCCAGCTAATTTTTAAATGTTTTGTAGAGATGGGGGTCTCACTACATTGACAAGCAGGTTCAGGAACATTTTTATTGCCCCAGAAAGAAACCTGATACCCAACCCATGACATCTAGGGTTTTGCAGTCCTTTGTTAAAACCAGTAATACAGTAATAGTAATAATAATACTGCCCTGGATATTCTTATACACATATCATTTGGCACATGTGCAAGAATACCCACATGACGGCTGGTTGAGGGATCTGTGGGGATTGCCGGACCCCAACAGCTGGTTGTGCTGGCACACACCTGTAGACCCAGCTACTTACGGGGTTGAGGATCTCTTGAGCCCAGCAGTTCAAGTCCAGCCTGGGCAACATTGAGAGACCCCACCTCTGAAACAAAAGTGAGTTTAAAAAGGGATACCTGCAGGACAAATACCTGGAAATGAATTTGCTTGGTAAGCTGATTTGTGCACTTAAGATTTTGAAAGACATTGCTAAACTGCCCTCTCTAGAGGTTATATGATTCTGTATCTGGTCAGTGTATAAAAGTTCCTCTTTCCCCACTCCCTGCCATCATAATCCTTCATCCAACTTATTTATCTTTGCCAATCTGACAGGACATGTAGTATCTCACTGCAATATTAATTTATATTTCTCCTATTGTAAGTAAGGTTGATTATTTTAGATGCTTAGGAGCTACTTGTGTTTCCTTTTTTGTGAATTGATTGCTCATAAACCGATTAAATCTTTGACTGATATTCTGGATGGATCCTGATAAAAAACTTTCCTTATGTATAAGCGCTCTTTATGTATTAGGAAGAAAAGGCCTCTGTGGTATGAATTGGAGGTATTTTTCCCAGTTATTTTTGTTTATTTGTCTTTGACTTTGCTTATGATGTGTTTTTCTTTCATCGTGCAGAAGTTTTACATTTTATGTTATTGACTTTGTCAATCTTGTATGACTTGTGTCTTATGACATCTTTAGACATTTCCCACTCCAAGACATTAAAAAAATTCTCCCATGTGTTATTCTAGTATTCTATTACTAGCATTCTACTCTAGTATTCTGTTATTCTATTCTTTTTTTTTTTTTTTTGAAACGGAGTTTCGCTCTTGTTACCCAAGCTGGAGTGCAATGGCGCAATCTCGGCTCACTGCAACCCCCACCTCCTGGGTTCAGGCAGTTCTCCTGCCTCAGCCTCCTGAGTAGCTGGGATTATAGGCACGCGCCACCATTCCCAGCTAATTTTTTGTATTTTTGGTAGAGACGGGGTTTCACCATGTTGACCAGGATGGTCTTGATCTCTTGACCTCGTGATCCACCGGCCTCGGCCTCCCAAAGTGCTGGGATGACAGGCATGAGCCACCGTGCCCGGCCCTATTCTATTATTTTATTCTGTTCTATTCTATTCTGTTCTTTTTTTTTTTTTTTTTTGAGACGGAGTCTCGCTCTGTCACCAGACTGGAATGCAGTGGTGTGATTGTGGCTCATTGCAGCCTCCACCTCCTGGGTTCAAGTGATTCTCCTGTCTCGGCCTCCCAAGTAGCTGGGACTACAGGTACACACCACCACGCCCAGCTAAGTTTTATATTTTTAGTAGAGATGGGGTTTCACCATGTTGGCCAGGATGGTCTCTATCTCTTGACCTCATGATTTGCCCACCACAGCCTCCGAAAGTGCTGGGATTACAAGTGTGAGCCACTGTGCCTGGCCTGTTACTCTATTCTTTAATGTTCTTTCTCCCCCATTTAACTCCTAGATCCATCTAGAATTTATTTTTGTGTAAGAGATGAGTTACAAATTCACCTTTTTCCCCCCCATATGGTTAACAACTTTTCCCTACTGCTTCAAAATGTTATTTTTACACTGTGACCTCTTGATTAAAAGCTATTATTTAAGATGTTCAGAACAGTTTTAAATATTAGCTTTAATTTTTGAGACGGAGTCTTGCTCTCTTGCCCAGGCTAGAGTGCAATGGTGCAATCTCCACTCACTACAACCTCCACCTCCCAGCTTCAAGCAATTCTCCTGCCTCAGCCTCCTGAGTACTGGGATTACAGGTGCCCACCACTGTGCCCTGCTAATTTTTGTATTTTTAGCAGAGACAGGGTTCCACCATCTTGGCCAGGATGGTCTCACTCTTTTGACCTCATGATCTGCCCACCTCGGCCTCCCAAAGTCCTGGGATTACAGGCGTGAGCCTCTGCACCTGACCTGTTATTCTATTCTTTTTCTTTCTTTCTTTCTTTCTTTCTTTTGAGACAGAGTCTCAATCTGGAGTGCAGTGCCAGGCTAGAGTGCAGTGGTGCAATCTCAGCTCACTGCAACCTCCGCCTCCCAGGTTCAAGTGATTCTCCAGCCTCAGCCTCCCAAGTAGCTGGGACTACAGGCATGCGCCACCGAGGTCAGCTAATTTTTCTTTTTTTTTAGTAGAGATGGGGTTTTACCATATTGGCCAGGATGGTCTTGATCTCTTGACCTCGTGATCTGCCCGCCTCAGCCTCCCAAAGTGCTGGGATACAGGTATGAACCACCATGCCTGGCTTGTTCTATTCTTAAGGTTCTTTCTCCCCCATTTAACTCCTAGATCCAACTAGAATTTATTTTTGTGTAAGAGATGAGTTATGAATTCACCTTTTTTTCTCCCTATGGTTAACAGCTTTTCACCACTGCTTTGAAATGTTATTTTTACACTGTGTCTTCTTGATTAAAAGCTGTTATTTAAGATGTTTGTTGGTACGATTCAGAACAGTTTTAAATATTAGCTTTAATTTTTTTTTTTTTTTTTTTTGAGACGGAGTCTTGCTCTCTTGCCCAGGCTGGAGTGCAGTGGTGTGATCTCAGCTGACTACAACCTCCACCTCCTGGGATCAAGCAGTTCTCCTGCCTCAGCCTCCCAAATAGCGGGGATTACAGGTGCCTGCCACTGCGCCCAGCTAATTTTTGTATTTTTAGTAGAGATGGGGTTTCACCATTTTGGTCAGGCTGGTCTCGAACTCCTGACCTTGTGATCCACCTGCCTCGGCCTCCCAAAAGTGCTTGGATTATAGGCATGAGCCACCGTGCCCAGCTAGCTTTAATTTTTTAAGAGAGCTAGTCAGCTGTTCAGGGCAGTGATTTCCGAATTCTTGGGGTGCCTAAAGCCCGTTCCCTCCACGCAAATCCCAGTGTCAAGGCCTGCTATTTACAGAGGGGAATACGTTTTGCTCACATCTGTTGGGCCAAGAAATAGTTTCTAACCACTCATCCAAGGATTTCTCCTTAGCCTCATAAAATCCACCTGGAGTCAGCCACCCATCTAGGGATTCCAGGGTTGTTACTTGAATGAGAAAAGGGAGAATCTTCTCAGAGAAAACAGAATTCTTCACTTTTGTGTCATTAGTGTCTGATCTTCAGATTATCTTCTCATTTTATTTTATTTTTTTATTTGAGATGGAGTCTCACTCTGTCATCCAGGCTGGAGTGCTGTGGCATGATCTTGGCTCACTGTAACCTCTGCCTCCTGGGTTCAAGCCATTCTCCTTCCTCAGCCTCCTGAGTAGCTGGGATTACAGGCGTGTGCCACTACACTCAGCTACTTTTTGTATTTTTAGAGACAGGGTGTTGCCATGTTGACCAGGTCTCAAACTCCTGACCTCAGGTGATCTCAGGCTCCCGGCCTGTCTTTTCATTTTAAAATCAGAGTCAGATTTTACAGTTTTGCTTTGGTAAATTTACTTTGATGGACCGTAGATCATCCTGGTGAAAGGAACCCCTGGATTTAGCCCTATCGTGACTGCATTCTGGCATTATTGAAAGCTGGAGAATACAAGGCTAAGGGTCATCTCTTTTCATTTGAAACTGTTTAAAGTGAGAAAAGAGTGTGGCCCTTTAAAAAGTCAAATTCTCAGGGTGCCCCTGACTGTAAAGGCTCCTAGAGTTCTCCCGACTGGGACCAGAGAAGGCCTGCCTGGCAGTTCCTGATGCTGCTGATAGGGGGCAGATATCCCCAGGGAACCTTCTTTCAAGCCAAACGTTTGACCCCTAGTTTTGTTTGGTAGAGAAGGTGGCACAATGGCTTTTAATCCCACTCAATATTATAAAATGGTTCCATTTGCACTACTCAGGAAGTAGTTTGTCACTCTGAACTTAGGGGTCACAGATGTTCTCTGTGCTTGAAAGTGCTAGTGGCAGTGACACCTCAGTGGAGTGACTGGAGTTGACAGGGTTTGTTTAACCCTTAGGGCACCTCATCAAGTAGAGGAATTAGGCAAGTGTGTCAAGTAAGAAGGGGAGCTGGGAGAGTTGTGGAAGTGTTTTTCTTTGGTGTAGGCTATTTTTCACTTACATATTTATTAATTAGTTTGTTCCAGCGACAGACACTTAAAAAACTGAATTCACAAACGATCTAAGGGAATTCAGTTTAAGCGCTTTGTAGGCATAATGTATGTCATGTTTGGCTAATTTATTCCATATGATTGTGATCCCTGAGAGACAAGCCTGTGGTATGCTGATGAGCCATGGTTAACACAATTTTGTCTTACTCAATGTTGTCAGGATTTTAGGGAAGACCTTCACACAGATTTCTCTGTATCTGTGTGATGATCGTTTTCCTGCTTTTCCTTTCTGTCCCATCTTCACTCCTCCACAGTCATGTTAACGCTAGGATAGTCATGCCAGTGTGCCCTTGAGTAACTCCAAGTCTCTTAGACAGCTGCCCTTGTTGATTTCAGCCTTGGGAGTCACCTTTCTGTATCTTTTCCCATTCCTTCTTCCTCCTTTCTCAACCATCATTTCCTCCTCTCCACTGGATTCTGCTCACAGGGCTTGTGATCTCCCAGACCATTCAGCAGCTGAAGGAATTCACCAGCCAAGGGGAAGATCCCACAGTGGGGGTACTTACCCCTTCCAGACTTCCTGAGGAAAGCTAGTTACCTTCCGTGTGGCAGGAGTACATGTTATATTAGTTTGGCCTTGTGACTGTTAGCGGGGGAAGTCTGAGGGAACTGGAGAAGAGATGCCATTTCAACAGAGGAAAAACATTTAGTAGAGACTGTCCCTTCTGCCTTCTCTGGGCGTGTCCCTCTTCTGGGCATCTCTTCAGGATTTCATTCCTCCGTCCAACTGCCGTTCACAACTGCCCTTTCCAACTGCTCCAGAACTCTTGGCCCTGGCATTCCGTGATGTAAATTATGCCACGCATGGTTCAAAATGGGCATGAAGTGGTGTTGCCAGGTGTCGGATCACTAGTGTAAGTTTCCCGGTCTTCGGGGAGAGCCGCTCTTGGAATCCGTGCAGTTGTTGTTTCAGCCGAAGAGTAGTCATTTCACTGGCTAAGCTAGACGCTGTCGCTGGCGGGGGAGAGAGGGACCTCGGGGCCTGGAGCTGGGGTGAACGTTTTGGTTGAGATTCTCTACTTTAAGGGTTCTAGTGTTGGGATGTAGATTGTTTGGAGCTGAACAGTCCTGGTACCGATGCAGAGGGAGAACGCAGGACCTGCGGGCCAGAGCCTGCAGAGACTGCCTGTGGTTAGGGTGACCCCTCTTCTCTCTCTAAATGCAGGAAAAACCGTTTTCCTGTCTTCCTAAAGATAGCCAGAATATGGCAAAAAATGTAGATTGCGCACCATGTTTAGGAACATTGAGTCACAAAATTAAAAGACCTCTTTGTTTATGAGATCTTTTCTAAAACATAAATACTATTTCTCTCCTTGTTTATTGTACATTTTGAGGAAGTTACTATTCATGGTTTATAGCCCCTCAGGGGAATCTGCGTGTGATGGAAGTTGCTGCCAACTGACTGATTTGTCTAGATTCTTTTTTGACTTGTAAGTTAAGGGTTTGTTTTCAATAAAAAGTTTAAATTGAATACTTTCTCTCTCAAATGACCACAAAAATGTTTAAAATTACATTATTAATAATAAGCAGTTAGAGGAAACCCCATGAATTATAGTTGTTTATCCAGAAAAGTATAAGGCATACTTTTATGTTGCATTCATACTACTGCCTTTAATCTGCTTCACTGAAATGTGCTTTCTTCTCCCTTTTCTTTATAGTTGTCATGGATGATGATGATGACTCGTGTCTCCTTGATCTTATTGGGTAAGATGCTTATTCCAAAACCTGAGTAAATCAAATTTGTGAGGTTTGCTGACCACTAAAACAACCTAATAGCATATTAAAACCTGGTAGGTATTTTAAATAAAAATTAAATAATAATCATAGGTTTAGTAGGGAAACAAAGAGACATGATTAACATAGGGGTCTTTTTTTTTGAGACAGGGTCTTACTCTGTCACCCAGGCTGTAGTGTAGCGGTACAGTCTCAGCTCACTGTAGCCTCCATCTCCCAGGCCCACACAATCCTCCCACCTTAGCCTCCCAAGTAGCTGGGACTACAGGCTCGCACTACCATGCCTGGCTAACTTTTTATTTTTATTTTTTGTAGATACAGGGTTTTGACATGTTGTCCAGGCTGGTCTTCAACTCCTGGACTCAAGTGATCCTCCTGTCTCAGCTTCTCAAAGTGCTGGGATTACAGGCATGAGCCACTGTGCCCAGCAAGTAATTCTTTATTAAATTTATTCTCTTATAAATCCCAGGAGGCAGAAACGAATAATAATAGGCAATGGCACAATATCAAAACAAAAACAAGATAAAAATTTTTTAAAACTACTAATTGTTTTAAAATAGGGAGAGGATTTTACTCAGGTAACATATCATTTTCTTTTTACTCTGATAAAAATTCATTCTAAATATAGATAGTATATTTGTTTGTTGATTCATCTCTTTTTTCTCTCTCTCTTTTCTAGAGACCCACAAGCATTGAACTATTTTCTACATGGACCTAGTAATAAATCTGTAAGTAATGTGTAAAACAACACCACAGACATATATTTTGTTTTTTCTTTACAGTTAAAGTAGTAACTGCCTATTGAATTTGTATATTTACAGAGCAATGATGACTTGACTAATGCAGGATATTCTGCAGCCAATTCAAATTCAATTTTTGCCAACTCTAGTGTGAGTATTAGAAACTAAAAGCAATGATTAAATGGTTTCTGTCTCATTGATGCCTTGTGAATTGAGCCTTTAACTGCCTTTATATCAGAAGAATCCTTACCTTATCTGTTGTGTTGTGTTGTGTTGTGTTGTGTTGTGTTGTATTTTATTTTATTTTATTTTGAGACGGAGTCTCACTCTGTCACCCAAGCTGGAGTACAGTGGTGCAATCACAGCTCACTACAGCCTCGACCTCCCAGGCTTAAATGATCCTCCCACCTCCCGAATGTCTGGGACTATAGGCGTGTGCCACCACACAGGCTAATTTTTGTATTTTTAATAGAGATAGCTTTTCACCATGTTAGCTAGGCTGGTCTGGAACTCTTAGGCTTAAGCAATCCGCCTACCTTTACCTCCCAAAATGTTGGAATTACAGGTGTGAGCCACTGCACCCAGCCTGTTGTAATTTATGTAGGAAGAAAATCTATTGAATTATGTAGACATTTTCTACTTTTAACTTAGCCAATTAAGACAAGCTATAATGGCCAGGCACAGTAGCTCACACCTGTAATCTCAGCCCTTTGGGAGGCCCAGGTGGGAGAATTGTTTGAACTCAGCAGTTCAAGACCAGCCTGGGCAACATAACAAGACCCTATCTCTATTTTTAAAAAATAAAATAATAAATAATAAAAACACACCCTATATGAGGTTGTCTTCTGAATAATAAAAAGACAAGCTGTATATCCACTTGCCATTTTTCTAAGCTTTCAACTTTTTTTCTCTTTTTTATGAGACGGACTCTTGCTCTGTTGCCTAGGCTGGAGTATAATGGCACAATCTTGGTTCACTGCAGCCTCCACCTTTGCCTCCTGGGTTCAAGTAATTATCCTGCGTCAGCCTCCCTTGTAGCTGGGATTACAGGTGCCCACTACCACACCTGGCCAACTTTTGCATTTTTAGTAGAGATGGGATTTATCCATGTTGGCCAGGCTGGTCTTAAACTCCTAACCTCAAGTGATCTCCACCCTATTACAGGTGTGAGCCACTGCACCTGGCCTCAACATTCTTTCTAAAATGACTCAGAAATGTTACAACCTGAGAAAGTCATATTAGAATGTTTTGAAACTTGTTACATAATAAACGTTTTTTTTTTTTTGAGACAGAATCTCGCTCTGTCACCCAGCCTGGAGTGCAGTGGCATGATCTCAACTCACTGCAACCTCCGCCTGCCGAGTTCAAACAATTCTCCTGCCTCAGCCTCCCAAGTAGCTGCAACTATAGGCACACGCCACCATACCCGGCTAATTTTTTTGTATTTTTAATAGAGATGGGGTTTCACCATGCTGGCCAGGCTGGTCTCACTCCTGACCTCGTGATCTGCCCACCTTGACCTCCCAAAATGTGGGGATTATAGGCGTGAGCTACTGTGCCTGGCCCACAGTAAGCTTTAAAGAAATTCTTCTTAATTCATAGTTACTTAGAAATCGTTTTCATCTTAAATGAGGAAAAAAAACATAAGTAACACTTGAGCATTTAGTATGTGCTTGGTAATTTTGTGTGTGTGTGTGTGTGTGTGTGTGTGTGTGTGTGTATGCTTGGTATTAAGAGCTTTACATATATTAACCTCAGCCAGACATGGCAGCCCATGCCTGTAATCCCAGCATTTTAGGAGGCCAAGGCAGGAGGATTACTTGAGCTCAGGAGTTCAAGACCAACCAACACAGTGAGACTCTATCTCTCACTATGTTTAATTTTTTTTGTTGTCACAAAAAAAAATTAAAATTAAAAAAAAAGTAGATGAACATCGTGGTGCATGCCTGTAGTCCCAACTACTCAAAAGGCTGAGACAGGAGGACCCCATGAGTCCAGGAGTAGGAGGCTGCAGTGAGCCAAGATCATGCCACTGCACTCCAGCCTAGGTGACAGAGTGAGATCCTATGTCAAAAAAAGAAACCCAAAACACATATTAACCTCACTTAATCTTCTCAATGATTCCATGAAGTGGTTCTATTAACATCCTTTTTTTTTTTTGACGGAGTCTCACACTGTCGTCTGGGCTGTAGTGCAGTGGCATGATCTCAGCTCACTACAACCTCCACCTCCTGGGTTCAAGCAATTTTCCTGCCTCAGCCTCCCAAGTAGCTGGGACTACAGGCATACGCCATCACGCCCAGCTAATTTTTTTTAGTAGAGGCAGGGTTTCACCATGTTGGCCTGGATGGTCTTGATCTCCTGACCTCCCAAAGTGCTGGGATTACAGGCATGAGCCACCGCATCCTGCCAACATCCATATTTTAGAGATAAAGAAACTAAAGCACAGAGAGGTTAAGTTACTTGGCCAAATAGTACACAGCCATGAGTTGCAGAGCTAGGATTCTAACCCAGGCCACCAAGCTCTGGAACGCATGTTCTTTTTTTTTTTTGAGACAAAGTCTCGCTCTGTTGCCCAGGCTGAAGTGCAGTGTTGCAATCTTGGCTCACTGCAACCTCCACCTCCTGAGTTCAAGCAATTCTCCTGCCTCAGTCTCCCTAGTAGCTGGGATTACAGGCACATGCCACCACGCCTGGCTAATTTTTGTATTTTAAGTAGAGACGGAGTTTCACCCAGTTGGCCAGGCTGGTCTTGAGTTCCTGACCTCAGCCTCCTAAAGTGCTGGGATTACAGGTGTGAGCCACCATGCATAGCCCCCATGTTCTTAACCTCTAGGAGCAGCTAAACAAGAAACCTGACCTGGGGGGTTGGGGTGTCCTGCCTGAAGACTGTGTTGAGATTACTGTGTTTGAGCCTGAGGTTCCCTTACTCTTTTCAGTTGCTTTGTTCTGCTGTGGATGGTAGTTAGGAGTTGTACTGCCCAAGATTGAATCCTTACCCTACCACTTATTAGCCGTGTAACCTTAGATATATCACTAAATCTCTGTGAGGTTCAATTTCCTCATTTATGAAACCAGAATAATAATGGAATTACCTCAGGGTGTTTAAAATGAATTGACTAGACCATTGAAATCACTTGGTATGGTACTCAGTAAATATTAACTTATTATCATCAGGACCTATATTTTCTTCACCTATAAAATGGAATGGTGTTCAGAAAGTCCTTGGGATGGACAGTTCTTTTTAACAGTCATGTGTGTGTAAGGTACGTAAGATCATATCATGCAAGACATCTCTGTCACAACACTGATCTCCTGTAAGGCTTGTGAATCAGTAGCATTTCTGACATTCATTTTGAACAAATAATCACTACATATGATGCCATTAAGCCCAAAAAGTAGATATTTAGCCTATCCCTCAACATGAATGATTTTTATTTACCAACTCTCCTACTCCCATGTGAGTATGAATTCTAAGTTTTTACATTGCTTCATTCAATATATATTTATTGGCAACTTTTTTCATATCATGTCAGGTATAGTAGAAATACCAAGAATGCTCTGAGGCTGGTGATGGTGCCTCACGCCTGTAACCCCAGTGCTTTGGGAGGCTGAAGGAGGAGGATTACTTGAGCACAGGAGTTCAAGACCAGCCTGGGCAAGATGGTGAAACCCTGTCTCTAAAAAACAAAAATGAAAAAATTTAGCTGGGTGTAGTGGCACACACCAGTGGTCCCAGCTACTCAGGAGGCTGAAGTGGGAGGATCTCATGAGCCCAGGAGTTCACAGCAGCAATGAGTTATTATTGGGATCCTGCACTCCACCCTGGGCAAAAGAGCGCGACCCCCCCCCACCAATCAAAAAATAAACAAATAAGTAAATAAATAAATAAATAAAGTCTGTGGCAGCATCTCAAAAAATGAAGCTAAGCTCCAAGTAGTCCTAAGTGTGTTCATATTATCTGTCTGTTCTCTATAAAATAATTGACTGATGGATGCCAATATTTATAATATTAAGCATTATTACTATGGAAATAAAATCTCCGAATAAGGTGAGCAGTTTAGAGAGATGTGCCTGAAAAGCAGACTGTTATGCTTTGTTCATACTCAAAAGTAAGTTTAACTTGTATGCATCCTTTTCAAAGGTTACAGATGCCATGTAACATCCTGTTGATTTTTTTAGAATGCTGATCCTAAGTCAGCCCTCAAAGGTGTAAGCAACCAGCTTGGAGAAGGGCCCAGTGATGGACTGCCACTTTCAAGTAGCCTTCAGTTTCTTGAAGATGAACTTGAGTCTTCTCCTCTTCCTGATCTCACTGAGGACCAACCTTTCGACATTCTTCAGAAATCCTTGCAAGAGGCCAATATCACTGAACAGACGTTGGCAGAAGAGGCATATTTGGATGCCAGTATAGGTTCAAGCCAACAGTTTGCACAAGCTCAGCTTCATCCTTCTTCATCAGCATCCTTTACTCAGGCTTCTAATGTTTCTAATTACTCAGGTCAGACGCTGCAGCCTATAGGGGTGACGCATGTGCCTGTTGGAGCATCGTTTGCAAGCAATACAGTGGGTGTACAACATGGTTTTATGCAACATGTGGGGATCAGTGTTCCCAGCCAGCATTTGTCTAACAGCAGTCAGATTAGTGGTTCTGGTCAAATACAATTAATTGGGTCATTTGGTAATCATCCTTCCATGATGACTATTAATAACCTAGATGGATCTCAAATCATATTAAAGGGCAGCGGGCAGCAAACCCCATCAAATGTGAGTGGAGGGCTCCTGGTTCATAGACAGACACCTAATGGCAACTCCTTGTTTGGGAACTCCAGTTCCAGTCCAGTAGCACAGCCTGTTACAGTTCCATTTAACAGCACAAATTTTCAAACATCTTTACCTGTGCATAACATCATCATACAAAGGGGTCTTGCACCAAATTCAAATAAAGTCCCAATTAATATACAGCCAAAGCCTATCCAGATGGGTCAGCAAAATACATACAATGTGAACAATTTGGGAATTCCGCAGCACCATGTCCAACAAGGGATCTCTTTTGCTTCTGCAAGCTCACCCCAGGGCTCAGTAGTTGGGCCACACATGTCTGTGAACATTGTAAACCAACAGAACACAAGAAAGCCAGTCACCTCACAGGCTGTGAGCAGCGCTGGGGGCAGTATTGTTATTCATTCCCCCATGGGCCAGCCTCACGCACCCCAAAGTCAGTTCCTCATACCTACAAGCCTTTCTGTCAGTTCCAACTCGGTACACCACGTCCAGACTATAAATGGGCAACTTCTTCAGACTCAACCGTCTCAGCTCATTTCTGGCCAAGTGGCCTCAGAGCATGTCATGTTGAACAGAAACTCTTCCAACATGCTCAGGACCAACCAACCATATTCTGGACAGATGCTTAACAACCAGAATACTGCCGTCCAGTTAGTGTCTGGGCAGACCTTTGCCGCCTCTGGAAGTCCAGTGATAGCCAATCATGCCTCTCCTCAGCTTGTGGGTGGACAGATGCCCTTGCAGCAGGCGTCCCCAACCGTATTACACCTGTCACCCGGGCAGAGCAGCGTTTCCCAAGGAAGACCTGGCTTCACCACCATGCCCTCAGTGACAAGTATGTCAGGACCTAGTCGGTTCCCTGCTGTCAGCTCAGCCAGCACTGCCCATCCTAGTCTTGGGTCTGCAGTTCAGTCTGGTTCATCAGGATCAAACTTTACAGGAGATCAGCTGACCCAGCCAAACAGGACTCCAGTACCAGTCAGTGTGTCTCATCGTCTTCCAGTTTCTTCTTCCAAGTCTACCAGCACCTTCAGTAACACACCTGGAGCAGGAACCCAGCAACAATTCTTCTGCCAGGTAATGCCCTTTCCCAAATCAATGTTTGGCTGATTACAGAATGGAAAAATGGGATGTATATTTACTAGAATATAATTTTCATCCTAAACTCCCAATTTCTTAACCAAAAAATTTTAGGCTGGGCACAGTGGCTCATTCCTATAATCCCGACACTCTAGGAGGCCGAAGCTGGAGGATCACTTGAACCCAGGAGTTTGAGGTTCAGCCTGAGCAATAGTGAGACCCTGTCTCTACCAAAAATTTAAAAATTAGCTGGGTGTGATCGTCCACACCTGTTGTCCCAGCTACTCTGGAGGCTGAGGCAGGAGAATAGCTTGAGCCTGGGAGGTTGAGGCTGCCATAAGCCATGATTATACTACTGCACTCCAGCCTGGGTGATAGAGTGAGACCCTGTCTCAAAAAAACATATTTTCACAATTATGACTGGTTATCTTTTTTCTTGTTTTTCTTTTCTGCCAAGGGAACGGGGGTACAGGGTCTCACTCTGTCGCCTAAGCTGGAGGGCAGTGGCGCAATCATGGCTCACTGCAGCCTCAATCTCCTGGGCTCAGATAATCTTCCCACCTCAGCCTCCCAGGTAACTGGGACTAAAGGCATGTACCAGCATACCTAGCTAGTTTTTTTGTATTTTTTGTAGATTTAGGGTTTCACCATGTTGCCCAGGCTGGTCTTGAACTCCTGGGCTCAAGAAATCCCCCAGACTTGGCTTCCCAAAAGGCTGGGATTACAGGTCACCGCACCCAACCTTTCTTCTTCTTAATTAAATTTTTTATCCAGTGTAGCATTGTAGAGTGGGGACTCTGGAGTTAGACTCTTGAGTTTGAATCTAAGCTTTATGACATGGGAAAAGTTAACTTACCACTCTAAACTTAATTTTTATTAGTGAAATGGAGATAATGATACTGCCATCCCATGGAGTTTTCAGGAGGGTGAAATGAGATCATCTATACAAAGTCCTCAGACATAGTCCCTGGCAAATAGCAAATACTCAATAGGAACCTGTATTTATACTTAATTAAATTCATTATGGGCATTTAAAATGAAAGCTTATTTTAGATTTTTTATTTACATTGTATAGCAGGCTACTAGGACATGTGACTGTGGATTTGGTGAAGATGTGGTAGCTGCTTCTTGGTGGCCAACAGGAAGGGCTTAGGGACTCAGTGTGACTTATTAGTGGGTAACTGGCCTGCAGCACAGGGAAGCACATGGAGAGAGAGATCAAGGCACTCTCATTTGACCAAATACTTATGCCTGCTCTTATTATGCTGTTATGCAGGTTAATTACTGTGAGCAACTAGTAAACCACATATGTTTCTGAAAAGAATCTCAAGTGGTCATGAGCTTTAGTCCTTCACTGCCATCTGCTGATCCTTCAACAACTCCATCTTTTCGTTCCCATTCATTCTGAGTGTGCTCTATAGTTCCAGCTCCTTCTCTTCTCATCTGGGAGGACCTATGCCATACCCTGCTTTCTACCCCTCCTCAGCCTTGCATTTCCACTGCCTTTCTCCTCCTCCAAATTCAGAAAGATTCAGAAACTTCTGTTTGTATATATCAACATATTTCAAAATCTTTTTTTTTTTTTTTTTTTGAGATAGTCTCACTCTGTTGCCTAGGCTAGCATGCAGTGGCAAAATCTCGGCTCACTGCAGCCTCCACCTCCCAGTCTCAAGCGATCCTCCTGCCTCAGCTTCCTAAGTAGCTGGGAACACAGGTGCGAGCCACCATGCTCAACTAATTTTTGTATTTTTTTGATAGGCAGGGTTTCACCTTGTGCCCAGACTGGTCTCAAACTCCTGGGCTCCAGCAGTCTGCCCTCCTCAACCTCCCAAAGTGTTGGGGATTACAGGTGTTCGCCACTGTGCCCAGCCTATATCAATCTTTTAAATATATATATCCACCAGGAGCTGTGATTCATGCCTGTAATCCTAGCACTTTGGGAGGCTAAGGTGGGCAGATCCCCTGAGGTCAGGAGTTCAAGACCAGCTTGGCCAACATGGTGAAATCCTGTCTCTACTAAAAATACAAAAATTAGCTGGATGTGGTGGTGCACACCTGTAGTCCCAGCAACTTAGGAGGCTGAGGCAGGAGAATCACTTGGACCTGGGAGGCAGAGGCTGCAGTGAGCCAAAATCATGCCACTACACTCCCGCCTGGGCAACAGACTGAATGAGACTCCATCTCAACAATGAAAAACACACGCACATTATATATATATATATATATGAATGTATTTATATATATATATTTTTTTAAAAAAAAGCCGTATACCTTTGACTTAGTAATTTCACTAAGAATCCTAAGGAAATGAAGATTGCTTATGATTAAGGATGTCCAGTGTATTTGTTTTGGTATCAAATATATCAAAGGTGTGTGTGTGTGTGTATGTGTTTGAAATAATATAAGATTTATAGAAAAGTTAAAGTTGCAAGATTAGTACAAAGAATTCTCATATCTCCTCACCAAGATTCCCCAAATCTTTTCTCTCCCTCTCTCTCTTTCTCTCTCTCTCTGTCCGTCTCTCTCTCTCACATGCAAACACATGCACACACATACATCCTTCACAGAGTAAATTACAAACCTGATGCTGATGCCTCTTGACTCCTAATTACCTCAGTGTGTATTTCCTAAAAATGGGCATCCTCCTACATAACCACAGTACAGTTACCAAAATCAAGAAATCAGCATTATTACAATATTATAGCTAATCTGCCTATCTTACTAAAATTTAGTCAGTTCTCCCAGTAATGTCCCTGAGAGCAAAAGAGAAAACAAATTATTTGGTCTTGGTTTTGAGGTTTTGGTTTTTTTTCTTTAGAGATGGGATCTCACTGTGTTACCCAGGCTAGACTCTTGAGCTCAAGCAATCCTCCCGCTCAGCCTCCTGAGTAGCTGAAACTACAGGCTTGTGCCCCTGCAGGCAGCTTTGTTTTGTTTTTGTTGTTTTTTGTTTTTGAGACAAGAGTCTCACTGTGTCACCCAGGCTAGAGTGCAGTGGCACAATTTTGGCTCACTGCAACCTCCACCTCTTGCGTTCAAGCAATTCTCCTGCCTCAGCCTCCCTAATAGATGGGATTACAAGTGCGCGCCACCACACCCAGATAATTTTTATATTTTTAGTGCAAACAGAGTTTCTCCATGTTGGCCAGGCTGGTCTCGAACTTCTGACCTCAGGTGATCTGCCCACCTCGGCCTCCCAATTTGCTTTGGTTTTTATGGTTCAGGGTCTACCCAGGATCACCATCTCATTCCACTGTCAGATTTTTAAATCTGCAACAGTTCCTCAGTTGTTCTTGGTCTTTCATGATATTAATATTTTTGAAGAATGCAAACCAGTTATTTTGTATGATGTCTATCAATTTGGGTTTCTCTGATGTTTCCTCATGATTAGATTCCGTACATCTTTAACAGGATTGCCACAGAAGTGAGGTGTCCACAGTGCTCATGATAATGTGGGTTTGTCCCAATACTGGTGATTTCACCTTGAAAACTTGCTTAAGATGGTGTCTTTCAGGTTTCTCCATTGTTTTTCCTTTTGTCATTAATTAGAATCTTCCAGAAGATAATTTGAAACTCTGGAGATATCCAGTTTCTCATCAAACTTGCACATGATCATTTAAGTTTCCATTGTTGATTCCTGATTGAATCAATTATTACAGAGCTATTGCTATGAATGGCCTCCAAATAGATACTTTCTAATATCTTCCTTCATTTGTTCTGTACTTACTGTTGGCATTCTACTCTAAGGAAGAGCTTTTCCTTTTCTTCCCTTTATTTTTTGTTTGTTAATGTATGAATTCCTAGATTATTATTGTAGTCAGTGGTTATAAACTGTTAAAATAATTTATTTTAATGCTCAAATCTACCCACATTTGGCAAGTGGGTGCCCCTCCAAATTGGCTGCTCATCCCCTTCTGACATTTTTCCATCATGCTTTGAGCACTTCCTTCAATTTCTGGCAAAACAAATATTCTCTGTTTATCTTTTAATTTTCCTGCTCCTGCCCTAGCATCAACAATTTTTTAAGAAGACTTGCTCCTTCTGGTGGAGAACAATATTTAGAAACCAAGATCTGAGCATTATGTGTGTTCATTGCTACTAAGGTCACCTCAGCTGGGAAATATGTATATTTATACACCCAACACCTATAGCTATTTACATTTCTATGAATCTATATTAAAAGCAATGAGTTCATATTGATAATGCCAATTCTAATTCATGACTACATAATTCATCCAAGCCTCTCTCTTTTCCATATTTGTAATGCCTTTTTTTTTTTTTGAGTCAGAGTCTCGCTCTGTCACCTGGAATGGAGTGTAATGGAGTGATCTTGGCTCACTGCAACCTCCGCCTCCCAAGTTCAAGTGATCGTCCTGCCTCAGCCTCCCAAGTAGCTGGGATTACAGGCATGCGCCACCATACCTGGTTAATTTTTATATTTTTAGTAGGGTTTTACCGTGTTGGCAAGGCTGGTCTCGAACTCCTGACGTCTGGTGATCCACCCGACTTAGCCTCCCAAAGTGCTGGGATTCACTGCACCCAGCCTGTACCTCCCTTTTCTAACAGTGAGAAAGCCAGCTCCACAATATGTTTACTTATTTGTTCAATCTTAGAACATACAGAAAATAGTCTTAGAATTGCTAATCCATGTTTTTCACCATTGTTAAAACAAACCTACTAGACTTTAGTATTGGTTTACAGTTCTGTCTTTAGCCTAAGGGTTTACAGTCAACATACTGTGTTCATAAGTTACTTGGGGCTGGTTGCAGTAGCTCATGCCTGCAATCGCAGCACTTCGCAGCAAGCAAGCAGGGCAGATTGCTTGAGCGCAGGAGCTCCAGACCAGCCTGGGTAGCATGACGAATCCCTGTCTCTACAAAAAATACAAAAATTAACTGGGCATGGTAGTGTGCGCCTGTAGTCCCGGCTACTTGGGAGGCTGAGGTGGATCATCTGATTCCAGGAAGGTCAAAACTGCAGTCAGGGTGATCGCACCA